CTTATATTTAACTTATGATGCCAAAGCAAGTTTACCAGGTTCAGTAAACATTCTACAAAGAAAGTTACAATCACTGGTTCTTTTACCAATCCAAATACACACCCAGACTCTGGATGAGTCTTCACTCATTCTTCACTACACACAATAAATTGACTCTCAATGCATGAAAGGAAATGAAGAGTAAAAAAAAAGGGTGGGGGAGAAGATCCTTGGCAGGGGAGAGGAAGAAAGAGGAGGTAAAAAGGGTGTCATTCCACCTCAGAGTGGAGAGAAACAGGGAGAGTGGATTAAACAAATTTTAACAAGGAATTTTTTAGGGGTACGCCAATCTTAGGACTGGAACTCAGGTCTTGATCCCTGGCTCTTTTACTCAAGGCTAGCCTGAGCCACAGATACACTTCTTGGTTTTTGGGTTTTTTTTGTTAATTGAAGATATTCTCAAAGACTTCCTAGCCCAGCTATCTTCAAACTGTGATCCTCCATTTCAGCCTCCCAAGTGGCTGAGATTAGAAGACAATAACTAGCCAAGCGCCCAAGGCTCACACCTGTAATCCTAGCTACTCAGGAGGCTGAGATCTGAGGATCAAGGTTCAAAGCCAGCCCAGGCAGAAAAGTCCATGAGACTCTTATCTCCAATAAAAACCACTAGAAAACCAGAAGTGGCACAGTGGCTCAAGCGGTAGAGCCCTCACCTTGAGCTGAAGAGCACAGGGACAGCGCCCAGGCCCAGAGTTCAAGCCCCACGACCGAACAACAACAACAAAAAAAAAAGACAGTAACTATAGGAATGACTTACCACCAATAATGTGCAGTAGTGGAAATATTTAACAGGAAGGGAAAGACAAAAGTAGAAAAAGCAGTTCTGGTTTAAAAGGTGAGTGGTTACAGAAACACAACTCCACTCCTGTGCTTGACCTCTTTACAAATTATTTTTAGGGCAGAAAGCAACATGACAGCAATGGAAGTCCAACAGATCAGAAATTATGATCTTGTACCATATTAATTTACACCTTATTAGTTAATTCACATACTTGTTAGCTCACAAGCCAATCATCCCTTCAACTCCTAACACAGATGTTGTGAGTTCCAAGTGGACTGAATCATTTCATCACTGGCACCTGGAAAATTTTCAACTCAGCACACTATTATAATCATTTCTGATTACAACAGCCACATTTTCCCTTCTGAGAGATCTTTCCCACTCTTTTCCCTTAATGTATCAGGGCAAGCTCCTAAATCAAGTTTGTACCATATGATTCAAAACCCCATTCTCTTCTACATCAGGGCTGGGAACCTTTTCTCTGTCGGGGTCATTTGGATATTTTTGTTTTGCTTTTTTTTTTTTTTGGCGGTCATGGGGCTTGAACTCTGGGCTTGGGCACTATCCCTCAGCTCTTCAGCTCAAGGTAAGCACTCTACCATTTGAGTCACAGTGCCACTTCTGGTTTTCTAGTGGTTTACTGGAGGTAAGAGTCTCAGAGACTTTTCTGCCTGGGCTGGCTTTGAACCACGATCCTCAGATCTCAGCCTCCTGAGTAGCTAGGATTACAGGCCTGAGCCACCGGCACCCAGCTCATTTGGATTTTTTTAACATCATCATAGTCCATACAAACTTACCAATACAAGCAAATTCGCCACAGGCAGGCTGAGAGAATCATTTCAATGTTTGTCCAAAACATTATGTATAAAATGGACTGGGGTGTTCCCACTCCTGCAAGATGATTAGAAGTGGACCCTGCTCAGAAACTCTGCGAAACATATTCTTTCTCCCAGTAGAAGTTGGAATGGGAGAGAGGTGTGCTGGTACCTTACTAGTCATTCAGACTAAAAGATCTTGGGTACTGGCTCACCAAGTTTCAACCTGAAACTGACCGGGCGCCAGTGGCTCACTCACCCCTGTAGTCCTAGCTACTCAGGAGGCTGAGATATGGGGATCACAATTTGAAGCCAGCGTAGGCAGAAAAGTCCATTAGAGTCTTATCTCCAATTAAATACTCAGAAAAGGCCAAAAGTGGCACTGTGGCTCAAGTGGTAGAACGCTAGCCTTGAGCACAAAGAGGTTCAGGGACAGTGCCTAGGCCCTGAGTTCAAGCCCCAGGACTAGCAAAAAAAAAAACAAAAAAACACAAAAACCTGAAATTGTCAGGCATCTCCCTAAGTTCTACAAGTTCTGTAAAGTTCTAAAGAAGCTGCTTCATCATTTTAATGCCCAAGACTTAAAATTAGAAGCTCAGAGGTCATTAAACCACATTGAGAGTGATCTTTCCTCATATCCCCAACCTCCAGTATAGGTAGGTGCAGCACCAGCTGCTCAAACTATACTGGCCTTACTCTGTAAGGAATGGCCCTGAAAAGAGAATCCTCTCCATGGTAGGGCAGTATTAACAAGTCAAATGTATAACATATACATCAACCTACCATTTCCTCCACTGCCAAGAAAACAGCCAAAAAAAAAAAAAAAAGAATGTCTGTAACTTTTCCTTGACCTATTATAATTCACTCAGCATGAATATCAATATTCAGAGACCTCTCCCTTTCTGGTTTTTCAATCAGTTCTTATTTTCCTTCCACTGCTATGTTTCATAAGGGTGTTGTTTATCATTTAATTTGCACCATAAACTGTAAAATGATAGAAGCTCCACCTATACCCACAGGTGCCTACCTGAACAAAAGCAAAACATTAAAGTCTCTGAAGAGCACAGAAAGTTAATATTAAAATTCCTATTTACATTCTCAAACCATCATTTAGGTCAGATTAATCTTTGTGCTTCATTTTCTTCATAGAATTGTAAGAATGAACTATTTAGAAGAACACATGAAGTATTAAGATCACAGCTATTCACTTAATAAGCATCATATTACAAAAGGATATATGTCATCAACACTCTTTGCATTGAGTGTGAGAAAGGAGGATAGTTCATCTTTAAATGTAAGGTGACATGTATCTGTCCTGAGCAACTAAGACAAGTTAAGAGTGGTCAACTTCCATCAGCTACTAGGCCTATATCTTCTCCTCTCCTCCAAAAACTCTTACCAGTCATGTCTATGCTGATCACAGGGACTATGAATTTTCAGGGGGACACCACCTTCTATGAGTAAACAAAGAGATGCAAAGACAGTTGATTTACAGGGTCAGATGATACTTATTCACAGAACAAAATTATTAAAGGAGGTAAAAAGTTTAAAAAAAACAAAAAACAAAATTTTGTTTCTACAACTTTTTCCTGATTCCACTCCAATCTCTGCACTGACTGCCTTCTCTGCCCTATTCAGTTATTTCTTTCCTTTCTGTTAAGCATTATTAATACTGTGGTAAAGTTTTCACTAGGGAAAAAAAAAAAAACCTGGAAAAGGAAGACAACTATATGCATCTCTTACCACACAAAAATGAAGACATGCTGGGGCACTGGTGACACAGGCCTATGACCTGAGCTACTGAGGAAGCTGAGATCTGAGGATCAAGGTCAAAGTCAGCCAGGGCAGGAAGGTAAGACATGTATCTTCAATTCATCACCAAAAAGCAGAAGTGGAGCTGTAGCTTAAGTGGTAGAGTCCTGGCCTTGAGCAAAATAGCTCAGGGACAGTGCCCAAGAACTGATGAGCCCTAGGACTGGCACAATATAACAAAACAAAAAACAAAAATAAAAACAAAAGGAGGCAATTCTGCAGGTAAAGAAAAATAAATTTAGCCTTGAGGTTCTGTCTTCTCAACCTACCCTGAGACTACTGAATTTATAAAGGCAAGGCTCAGATCTCTGTTGTTGCAAAAGTTCCACAGGTGTTCAAAGCTCCACAGTCGGGAAGCAGATCCACTAAAACGCTTAGACTTAAAATTGTATCTCCTTTACGGTGACCTGGGTTCTCTGAATAAATTACTATAAGATATAACATACTTTTTACAGGAAAAGAATTGTTTTTCAAACAGCAGGAGGGAAAATGGCTGGTACTGTGCAAATAACCCTTTAGAGAACATCCTTCCTTTTGGTGATGCCCACTTAAGTACCACACAATCAACTTACATCATACCCCTCCTCCACCCTTAAACAAATACATACAAAACCAGAACCTCTTATAGGAACCAATAAAATAACCCGAACATCACACATCCCAGACTGTACAAAGTGGTGGCAGTTAACTTAATATTTCTCTCCACTCGACTTTGAAATGTTTTCGAAATACAATCAGGGTTTCTTATCTGTAAATAGCCCATCTATGTCTCCAGTCATTCAGCGTCCCGTTCTGCTCACTTGGCTCACTGAGTTTTGTTTCATTCGGTTAAAAGATTCTCTGAAGGATATTCTGTGGGCGGGGAGTCTTCGACGCCCCCCCCCCACTTACCACCCCCCCCAACCATCCCAATTATACAAAGGTGTCGAACAATAAAGTTATGATCTCATGCTAGGGCTAACAATCTTTTCCCCCCCAAAGCAGCAGGAACGTACAAACAAGACGCAGCACATGACAACACGGACTTGGCACGTTTCCTACCATGGCACTGACCAACTCTCGGGATTTAAGGCCGATTATCTGAAGGCAGTGTTCCCCACACACCAGGCTCCGCCGAGAGAAGGCACTAGTGGGAGGAAGGGGCCTTATCTCGGCTCAGACCTGAGGCAACGGCAGCATCAGCCATGAGAGCAGGAGAGAGAAATTCCTAAGCGCAACTTCTTCCCCTAGCAGAAAAGTCTCCCCCGAAGGAGTGGCGGGCACAGAGGCTCGAGGCTCGCCACAGAGCCGTCGGCGGAGGCCGCGGCCGAGCAGCAGACGCCGCTGCCCCCCGCGGCCCTCCAGGCGCGGGGAGTCGGGCCCACGTGCCCTGCCCAAGGCGCCGGGCCCCCGCGCCCGCTTCCCCGGTCCTCCCCCGCACGCTCCGACGCCGGCTGGGTAACGGGGTTCCTCCAACCGGCCCCGCCAACCCCGAAGGCGGCGGCCAGGAGCGCGGCTGCAGCTCCCCGCCTCCCTCCGCTCCCCTCCCCCGCCGCCTCCGCTCTCCGGCTCACCCTCAACTCTTCGAAATCCGCCATTTTATGCCAACCGCGGGCTCCGCTGCCGCCACCGCTCCCCCTCCCGCTGCCGCCAACAACGCCGCCGCCACCACGGCCGCCGCCGCCGCCTCCAGCACCATCCTGTACTGGGCGCCGCTGAAGAC